GTTTGTGGTCAGCTGCTCTAGTTGTTAAAGGCTATGCTGAACTGAGACCCAATACTGTTTATTGTAGTATGGTATCCTGCCATGGGTACTCAAGAATCTTGATTTGACAGCCTGAGGGAAGTGGGAAATCTGTTTACCAGAAGGATTTCCTTACAGGCCCCTGCTGAGAAAAGGAAACGGCGTTTCTGAGCAAGCAAAGAAAATTTTAATGCTGGAAAATCTCTGTGCAGGCCAATCAGTAACCACCATTTTATTTCTCTGGGGCATTTTCTAATATTTTCCTTCTTTTTCCTCTATGTTAAAATAAAACGACAAATACTTGAGGTTTTATTAGGTGACTACTTTAGAACAAAACATATCACACCCTAATAACATTTATTTTTCCCTGCTGGTTGTGACCACTAAGGCAAATAAGAACCTCTTACTTTCTTGAGTCCCACCACATTAATCTTCAGTCTGGTGACTTTATGAAAACAACAGCCACCTCTTCAATGATAAATCACAGAATCACGGTATTGCTGAAGTGGTATAGGATCTCTAGAGATCTTCTCCAACCCCTAATTCTAAATCACAGCTAGGACAGGTTGCTCATAGCCGTGTCTGGTTGGGTTTTGAATATCTGGAAGATAGCAACTCCGCAGCACGTCTGAGCAACCTGTTGCAGTGTTTGACCACCCTCACAATTATTATTTTTTTCTTATGCTTAAATGGAATTTCCTGTATAAATAAATAAATTATCCACTTCAATAAAGGTTGGACAACAGCTTTTAATATCCTGGGTATTAACCTGTTGCAATGAAGATAACGAGCATTTTAAAACCTTTTAATTTTTACTGCAGGGATCATCTCTGTACTTCACCCCACATCTATAATTTTTAACCTGACATATTTTACTACTGATTTTCCTTACACTGAGATTATACTACACATGATAATATATAGCTGAAGTTAATAATAACTGTATTCCTAAAATAGAAATTAACAGGAGCAACTCACTGAAATAATAAGACTTTCAACAAAAAGCACAAGGCTGGGAGCCTGGAGACCAGTATTCAATATTCAACTCAGATAACTCTTCCTTTTCAATGGCCATGTTTGAGTTTGTCTTAGTTCAGATGTCTATATCTGTCCTAGTCATTGCAAGCTGTTCCTATACCAAAAGAGAAAGAGGCATCTCCAGAGGATGATTTTTCTTACACTAAGAGAGATGTCCAATGCACAGTTCAAGAATTACCCTCTCTACATGGACTATACAGCCTTGATTTTGTAGCACCTAGGCACCTAACATTTATATGTCAAAAATGTGAGTAAAAATCTGTTATCTTCCTGTCCTCCATTTTCAACCTTTATAGAAGGATACATCTTCCTTCACAGGCATCCTTCACAGCTTATCTGCAAGAGGTGATGGTAATATCTTCCCATGTTAGAAGCTGCTTATAAAAAGCACTGTACAAAGCCTAGGATCCAGAACAGGTCATAGTAGGGTAAGAGAATTCCTGAGAGTTAGCCTAGGATCGTGCTCAGGGAGACACATCTCAGCCTTGGACAGCAGCATCCCATAAACTGGAATGTGCACTGTCTTCTCTGCAAAACCATTCCTCCCTCTCATCCATCCTGAACAGTGGTTCATCATCAGATTATTCTTCCATAATTGGATTTAATCAGATCTAGTATTTCATTTCTTTCTCTAGGGATCACATGTTTCTGAAATATGAATAGCTACTGTGTCTGCTTTTAGCCACAGAGTTATTGCCAAATCCTGTAATCCTATCCCTCAAACTATTTTACCAATTTTCCCTTTGAAATTCTGCTTTCTCCCCCCAGCATGAAAATCAATGACAAAAAAAAGTGCATGGAAAATACAGCCTCAAAGAGTTGCAATAACTCTTAATCCAGTGGTTGTCACATCCAAGCAGAAGAACAGCATCACTTCTCCTTTGGGATAGCAAAAGAAAGCTCCTCGTTTCCGTGTTGTTTCCTGTTGTAAGCAGGGTGATGCAGTCTCCAGCACAGCCAGTGGTTGAAATGGGGCTGCTGTTTCTCTCAGCACATTCAGTAGCAAACAGTAGGCATGAGCCTACAAGATCAGAATCTGATCCCTTATTGTTAGAAATAATTCCTGTGAATGCCTTCAAGAGAGTTAAGGTGGAGAAGCAATGAATGGACCTCATCCCAGGAGACACTGAGAGAGCTGCAAGTCACTATAAAGGGCCAACAGGGTTAGCATGTCAAAGATGTCCTGCTGACTGCCCTGAAGACATCTGTCCTCTGTTAGTCCAGGCAGTGACCTGTTGTTAGGATATGATTCATAACAGCAACGAGGGTAAGGTCTTTTGCTGAGCAAATTGAGAGGAACTCTAATTCAAACCCCACAGCACTCAACTTCCCTGGCAGAATGGATGTTGCATTAAACCAGATCAATGTGAGAAGAATGAGATTTATTTAACTCTTATAAAATATTCATATGTAGTTACAACTATTTAAATCATTTTAACAACAAAGCATTGGAAAGTACCGATTTTCCAAACTTAGGTGGATTTCTGCAATCATTAATTCAAAGAGATTAAGCTTGCAAGATAGTAAGAAGAAGAAGGAGGTCTATTTTACAGGCATAAATGCTGCTAAAGAGCTGATGATGCCAGAAACACTGCATGACAGGCCCTTTATTCAAAATTACACAACACAAGTATATTCCATATGAAAGGACTTGGTTTGTGCAATAAACGTAAGTTCAATAATTCAGCTGGCTCAGCTCCATTGATTGCTGAAGTTGTGTCATTAGCACCATCTATTTTCTGCACATAGACTGTAATGGTGATGAGTGTAACTGAAGCATCTGTATACAGGCACAGTACCAGGTGAGGAAATGACCTGGGCCAAAAGTAGCTTTCACTGAAAACTGTCATTTACAATTACAAGTTATTTCCAGAATCTAGTGAGGCTTTAAAGACTGTTTAACATCAGGATCAAAAGGGATTTCATTTCTAATTATTTTCCTTCTCTCCCTCTTTTTTTTTTCTCTCTTGCTCCCCCTTCCCCCCATTTTTCTCTACTTGTATGAGGACACATTGAAAGATCTAACTAATGGAATAAATAAGAAAACAGAAAAGAAAGGGCAAGTAAAGAAGGAAAATAAATATACAGGCAGCAAGAGCCTACTCAAAATATTGACATTTATTAGATTATAGACTTTCTATAAACGTTTTGAGTTAGCTAGAAAGTGTTCCTTTGGGGCAAAATTGGATTTATTGACAAATGACAAGCAATAGACATAAATCGAGCTTTGTGGGTTATTTTTTTGTTTGTTTGCTTCATGATACTAATAATGTAGATTTGGAAGTTTTGTTGCTTTTCATACAGTGGTGTTTAACATAAGCTTCAGAGCTGGTTTTTACAGCCCCAAATACAATGGGCCTCAGGTTGCAGTGTTATAGTGCAAACAGTAAATAAAAAATAATGGGAGAGTGATGGGATCACAGTGTATTCCCACAGAAAAGAGAAAAAAAAAAAAAAAAGATGCCATATGCTTTACTGTAAGAAAATTTACTAGATATATTCAACAGGATCTTCAGTGTAATTCTCCATGTCTTGCTTGTTCTTTAATCTTTGCTCATGCATCCGTTCTCTTATTTGCACAACATCCAACTCTATTATCCTAGTATCTCTCAAAGCCCTACTCGTACTGTCTAACAAATCTCAAGAAACCTCAGAAGCATTTCACAAACTAAGGGCTTGAGCTCTGAAGGGGGCCTGATTCTGCATTCCTTGGCAACAGAAAAAGTTATGGGATGCTTTTCTTCATGCTTCAGTGTGCCAGGCATGTGTGACAATTGCAGAATTGTCATCAGAGTGCCTCTGGGATTTGTTCTCTTCCATACTCAGTCTCTAGTTAAAGAGCTGATGATTTAGTGATGCAGTCAGGTCAGGGTGCATCTTAAGGGCGAAGGAGTGCTCAGCCCACCACCAGCACTAGCTCACATCTTGGTAGCCCATTACATAGTCAATTCTTATCGAATGTCCCCATACGCTCCAGAGACGTGCTCCTGCTGTAGCAGTCAGAGGAGGAAGAGACATCCTAGCATGGCTATAAGACCCCCGAACAGAACAGTGGCCAAATGTTGGCCACTGAAGCCCTCTCAGACAGCAAGAGAGCCCTCTCAACCCTGGTAAGTAGCCACCAGGTGTTTTATTTGACAGCTCAGATTCAATCTTACTGCACAAATAAAAAGTCCTGCTACTTTACATCCTATGTAAACATTGTGCTTGGTAAAAGTGACTTTCTGCTACATCTAGCCCCGCTCCCTGTGACCAGCTGCAGATGCCAAAAAATACATCATGCATAATCCAGCAACAGGTCATGAGGAGGAGGTGATGAGGCAGTCTGTAAGCCTGTGTCCTTATGGAGGAATGAGTCCTTAACAGGGATGCCCCATGCTGAGGAAGTATCCCACACTCTCCATCAGAGGTACTGTCTGAGATCATAGTTGAGGTAGTACTAGGAAAAATCACATTTCTAAGCTTCTGAGCAGTGGAAAGGAGAAAATGATCAATCTGGTATGCAGCATTTGCTAGGTGGTAATTACTGTTCTGTGCAGGACTTAGAAGAATTAGAGTGTATAATTCTCTATAGGAGAACTTGAGAAGCCACCAATTCCATCCCCTTCCTCAATACTGTATTTATCATGCTTAATTCTTTCCCAGAAGAGGTAAAACTTCCAATAAATGAGATATCCCCCACCCTTAGTCAATCTCTCCCACTTCTTCCCTATCTTGTGAGATCTAATTAAAGCATAACAGAGCTTCTCCTTCAATGGAAGAACAACGCAAGGGAGCCTTCCTTCGACAGTCTCTGAGAGACTCCAAAGTTCTCTACTATTTGTAACATCTCCAGAAACAGGTTTATTTGAAGTGGCATCTAAATGTCAATTGATTCCAGATCTAGAAGGTAAAATGTAGGTCTACTCTGTCACCTCATAGTGATCTTTCTCTTTTCTTTTCAGATCGACAGCATGCAGGCTCTGCTTCACTGCCCCAACATGCTGGTGTGCGTCGGCCGGGAGCCATTTAAACCTGTGTCGATGGAGAATTTGAGGAAACACTCGGTGGAGAAGCTGCCCGACCTGGCTCCCCGTTCCAACAGCAACAATGTCAACGAAAACAATGAAAGTAAGGAAAACTCTGGGGCACATTACACAGTCATCCCCAGGCCTGTGTCCCACCACATGGAGATTACAGGCACCTATTGTACTGACCCAATGTGCAGATCTCATGTGCACTGCCTCGTTTGCAAAATGTACTTCCCTCTCTCTGCCTCCCAGGCATTTCCATCCTCCCCTTCTTTTTCTCTGGTTTCCTTCTAGGATTTCCTCCCTACACCCTCCAGTCTTTCTTTTACATGCTCCCCATGTCTGGCTGACTTCCCTTCCTCTTTCATATCTCTGTGTCTCCTTTTCCTTCCAGAACTCCCTCCTTTCCTGTGTCTGCCTCTGAGACTCCCCAAACCCTTGAGATTTCCCACGAATCTTCTGTCTCCTTGTCTGTCAGTCAGATAACACTAGGACTTCTGCACTGGGACCGGCGGATGCCCTGTATTTGTCTGCAGGAGACTTGGTTTCTCAGACTCTCTTATACTTTCTTTAAATGACATATAACTTTTCAGGGTGTGAAGGTCATTTCAAACACCAGAGAACTAACAGCTACCTGCAGAATAGCCCTTTGGAAACAAAACATGTTTTTATGGAAAGGTGATATTCAAGGAGGAGTATGCAATGCGTTATTCTGGATGATATTTCTTATACGTCTTATATGAGTTATATAAGATTTTGCAGATAGTTATCCCAGCTACCCTCAGTAGTTGATGAAGAGAAACTGCCCATCTCTAAAGGGCACTTTGTCTCACCTCTATTAGGGATTTGTTTTAGGATGAAATAAAGTGTGCCCTGAGGTGGCCATTCCTCTCCCCATTGTCAATAGCAGGGGCCTGGAATGCATTCACTTGTTCATTGACTACTAATTGTAGAAACTTAAAGACAGAGACCTCCAACACTCACTCTCTGAGTCATAAAAATGGAGAGAACAGTGAGAACAAACTGAAGCTCTTTGTCCATCAGGGGACTGAAAAAACATGCCAGTTCAAATGCATGAAGATGGATAGTCAGTAGCTATTTCATGTGTTTTTGATCTTGATCAGTGTACTCCTTGTTACATACTTCCTTCCTAAAATGCCCTCCATTCAGCTCCATATCCACATGCCCACAGAAGGACAGATGCCTTACTTGTATATACAAGTAGGCTCTGAACAAAATAATGGACATATTAGGAACATGATAAATCCATGTCTTGCTAGAAAGCATGATAGCAATGTGCTCTGCCTGTACTGAAGGGTCTAGCACCTCAGTAAATCTGTGCAGATCACGGCATCGGGCCACAGAAATGTGCTTTGGATTAAAATTCTTAAAATTCCCTCACTATCACACTATGACTACAACTTTTTCTAATTACCACCAACTTATACTTCCATTTGCCTTTTATGTTTTAATAAGTATTAAAATTATTCATAGTGGCACATCCCTGTACATACTGAGTGTGGCTCTGTTCTGCATGGCCATACCTATGTTTCCTGGCATGTGAGTGGAGAAGTGGATGATGCAGAATAAATGTATGACACTTGACTGCTGGTTAAAGAAGAGGGTCACTTCTCCAAGTATATTCCCCCACTTGAATAAGAATTAGAACATGCACAGTAAAATACGAAAATATTTGCAATGTGATTAATAGGGTAGCTCCGAGACTGCATTGCTCTATTTGATGTTTTTATTTGTTTGTTTGTTTTTTCTTACTGGCATGCATTGCAACAAAAACATGTTTGTATTCCAATTTAGATTAAAAAATATGAAGTTAAGATTTAGAAGCTTTTGCCACAGACTATTAATTCCAAACTATTCTATTTTATTCTAACTTAACATTTATGGCCATCACCATGTCAAAGACAAATTTTCAAATTATGTAAACTGGAATAGTTTTAATAGACTAATATCAATATTTACTAATTTGAGGATTCGTTCTATGTATTTTATGTCATCCTTATATGAATTAACATTTCTTTTCATCTCTCTTTTCTTGATTTATTTCAAACTCCAGTGAACTTTGGACTGAAAGCCAAAAAAAGCATCATCCATCCACGATCAGCATCAAGCAATAGGTCAATGAGATTTTCTTTATCATCAGAAAAGTCATATCCAAATGGTCTTGCTGCCTCACCAGATACTGGCGCACCTTTCTCTAACAACTGTTCGCATCCAAAACCTGGAGAGCTGGTCCATTCCTTGGTCAATGATGACATAGAGAAGCGGGTACATGTAAACAAGGATGGTAGCCTGTCCGTTGAGATGAAAGTCCGCTTCCGCTTGCTAAATGATGAGACTTTGCAATGGTCTACCCAAATCAGAAAGTCAAATTTGATGAACCAGATGCCTTGTGAAGAGTCAGGTGTAGAGGACAGTGGAGTAGACCCTATACAGAAAATGAACCCAGAAGCCAGCTCAGAGGCAGATGACTCATTATACCCCTGTGATGTTGATTCTTACATGTCAAAACTTGAGGAATCTGAATGTGATGAGGCTCATTGTCATAGCTGTGGCAAGAAACACCAGGACTATGACATTTGGAAAAACCCCATGCACACTTCCCAGAGGGAGGAGCCCAGTGTACGGAGCACCTGGCACACACGGTCATCATGCTCCAGCACATCTTCCCGGAGGAGAGTAATCCACAAAAAAAAGGCTTCTGTGGATAGTCTCCACACCACATCCAGTGAAGAATTCTCTGAGCACATTGTGCAAGAGTCCTCATCCTACTCAGAGACTATAGAGAACAGAGTGGCATATCGATCTATTAGAAAGTGTACTTGTAGAAGTGATTTGTCTACAGGTGCTTCCAATGGAGAAGACCAGCAAGAGTACACCCGGACAAGCACAAGCAATAGTCAGAGGCCTTCATCTGTGGGCTTGGTATCACATTCAAGCTGTGAAAATAACCTGGACACTCAAGAAGCCCCTGAAGACTATGAGGCCAGTAAAACCAACTCACAAAAGGATGATGAAAATTGTTTTGAAGTTTCCTCTGTGAAGTGCTTAAAGCATGATGCAGAGGAGGTTGAAAGCAGCAGAGCTGGGAGTGTCATATCAAAGTCATCTCTGCAGTCCAGACAGAGCAAGAATATATGTGAGGAAACAAGTAGTGTGGGTAGGACCATGTCCTCCTCCAGCCTTCAGAAGGCCAATCAAGAAGATAACGCTATGTGCTCCACTCCTGCCAACAGTGTGCACAGCAGGTCTACTAACTGTAGCACACCAAGAGCAAAGAGTGAACAGGATGGCCACTCAGAAGACAATGCAGTGATCTCCTCCTTCTCCAGTGAGTCCTGCCCTAAGAAAGAAGCTGAGGAGGTTGAACAAGAAGAAAATGAAATCAATGAAGTCAGCTCAGTTTCAGCAAAAACAAAGCGCAGCCAATCAGTTAGAGATGAGAGCAGTGAAGGTGAACAATGCTCTACACAAGGAACCCCCTGTTCCATAGTTAGTGACAGGAACAGCAGGAAAAGTGATAGTGATGAGATCATTCAGTGCAATGCCTCTTGCTCTTCCAGAGGGTCCAGGAAGAGCAAACACAGCCATCTTCATTTGGATGCACGGTCTGAAATGTCTGTGTCTTCATTTGAATCCACTCAGAATAAAAAGAATTCCTTATATGCAGAAGATCTAAGATCATGCAGCAGGGTATCTAATTACTCCAAAAGCTCATGTGAAATCAGGAAAAAATCTATTGCAGACCCCATGTCTCATAATTCAGGGTCTTTTCACTCAAACATTTCATCTACTAGTGAAGCAGAGGCAATTGCTGTTGTTACTGAGGATAAAAGCTCAAAAAGTACCACCAAGGGGTACAGTGAATCCTCAAAAGGCTCAAAGAAGAAAAGCCATGGGGAAGAAAATAGCAAGCCATCATCTCTCTGCTCAAGTATTTCAAGCCCTAATGGAAAAGCTGGAGAGGGTCATTACAAGATGAATTCAGAGGCCCCTTCTTCAAGACACGGAAGTATAAGTGAGAGTGTATGTTCAAAAGGTGACCACTCAGCTGAGACTGGGATTAGGAATGGAAATCCTACAAGTGTCAGTTCAAGAATCTCTTCAAAGTCAGAAGAAAAAGACAAATGCTTGTTGACACAGATATCCCAGGAAAGTGATGACAGATGCTCACAATCAAACATATCTCAGTCTTCAAAATCGAGGCAGATTAAAACCAGAAATCTCCATGTGAAGACATCAAATTCCAGCAGAGTTTCACTGTCAGAGACTGTGTCAATATGCAGTATGCATTGCCCTGCCCCACCAAAAGGCAAGCCAAACAGCAAAAAAATACGGTCAGCTATCCTGAAGAACTCCTCCATTAGCAGCATAGGCACTGAGTCAGTGCTTACCACAGGAAGACAACAGAAAGAAATTGTAGATTCCTCCAAACCAACTTCTTTTGGATCTAAATCAGTTGCAACTGAGGCAAACGATCAGAAGAATAAAGAGCTTGATGATTCTTGTAATGGAAAAGTGGAGGAAGTGCTAGAAGACACAGGAATGCAGGAGGAATGGAGTAATTTAATGCCATCTATTTTGCCAAACACATCTCCAGAAGAAGTTGTGCAAGAATGGCTAAGTAAAATCCCTGCAGAAACATTGCTTATGAAATACGAAATGGAGGATGGTGCAGAAGAGGAATGCGTAGAAGCAGCCACTGAGGTGTCGTACTGTACAAATGCCGAGGAAATCTCAGAGGATGAAAAAGCTGAAAAAAAGAATGCAGAGGAAGCTGAAAATGAGGCAGCGGATGAAGTGGAGAAAGAGACAGCAGAAGTCACAGCTGTTGATGAAGGGACTGAAGAGTGTGTGAATCAGGAACAAATTGCTGAGACGTTGTCCGAAGCTGCCAAGGCCGACCAAGCAGAATGCAGCCGGTCAGTTACATCCAGCCAAAACAACAACAGAAGAGACCTGCCAGTCTCTGTCCAGACTTCTGTCCAGATCATGAAGGCCTTGCTCAGCTCAAAACATGAAGCAAAATTTGACCGATCAAACAGCTTGCCCGAAGTGTCCCCCACCATGGGGAGAAAGCTGAGTAATTCTGCCAACATCTTGATTACTTGTCTTGCCAGTCTCCAACTCCTTGATGAAGAGTCAGAAGATCCATCAAATAAATCAAAATGTTTAAATAAGCCAAGATATATGGAGCTGCTAAATATTTTTCAAGCCCTGTGGTTTGGACGCACAGCTGAAAAAAGTGGTCCAAGCTCAGGCCTAGAGGCAAGCGCGCTGGAAAAGACAGCTTGTGGATTTAAAGCCCCCAAATCTGTAGATGATGACTTCACTCCCATGTCCTCCTCTGGGGTGGATGTTAGCAGTGGTTCTGGTGGCTCAGGAGAAGAGAGTACAGCTGGTGCCAGGGACTGCAATTTATTGGCACAGAAAACCGTTGAATTAAAATCAGATGGGCAAGTGGAAAATGTAGAGACTGTCACTGAACAGATGGAGGCCGAGGAGCAGAGTAAACAGGAAGAGCATTCATCCCGACCTTCAACAGCCTGCTCAAAATCAAAAGGTGAGAAAAAAGCACGATCTACTAGAGAGGACTCTGTAACTCAGAAGGCAGAAGAGAATAAGGAGGATCAGTGCAGTAACTGTGAAAACGGTCAGGAGGAAAGGGGAGAAAATGAAAACGAGGAAAATATCAAATTACTTGAAAATGGAGAACAAGAAGTTCTTGTTGAAGAAGTTGAAGCTGTAAACAAAGCACTCCCAAAAGAAAATATTGAAGAGGCAGCGGATCAGCTAGCCACTAACATTGGTGCAAATGTCAGTGATGCTGACTGTGGGACAAACCTGAAAGATGATTTGGATGATCATCTTGGAAAAGAGTCTGTAAAGGATCCAGAGTCCAAGGTCAATATCGCCACCAGTGTGGGCGCATCCCTTGCCCAGCAGAACTCAGTAGATCCAGACCCAATCTGGGTCCTGAGACTACTGAAAAAAATTGAAAAGGAGTTCATGGCTCACTATGTCAATGCTATGAATGAGTTCAAAGTCAGGTGGAACCTGCAGGACAACCAGCAGATGGATGAAATGATACTGGAACTGAAGGAGGAAGTGAGCAAAAGGATACAAAAAAGCATAGAGAAGGAGCTGAAGAAGATCAAAAGCAGAGCTGGGGCCAAGATGCCAAGACCTCCAGATGAACCACTCAGGCGTGAGTCAACACTTCAAACTGAGCAAAGAAGACGACGATTGCAGACTATGCATAAAAAATCACTCTTCAGTGACAAGAATGGAACCCAGAGTAGGCTAGCTGACACATCAGACTTATCACTTGATGCAGATGACGATACGGTATTTAGTGCAGCTTTTGAGGCCAGTATTAGTGAACAACCAAGTGAGGAGGAATACTGCCCGTGTGACACTTGTGTGAGGAAAAAAATGGCTTCCAAGCCCACAAAAACCCCAGTGGTGGCTAGCAATGCCCCAGTCATGAAAGCATTTGATTTACAGCAGATCCTGAGGGGGAAGAAAAATGATCCTGAGGAAACCTGTGTCTCAGAAGCAGCCCAGGAGAGCAAAGCACTTCCCAGCAGTTATGTGGAGGAAGCAGCAGAAAACACCAATCCAGATGAGGAGAATGATGAGGGTGAACTTCAGTTAGGTGAAACAGAAGTGGAAGGGAATGAAGAAAAGGAGGCAGTATTAAATGAAGAGGATGGCTCAATGTTGAATGAATATGTAGAAGAGCCAAAATCAGAGAGTCAAAACTGTGAGATGGAGGATGAGGTTAAGGATGAAGAAACCAATGAAGAAGAAAAGGGAGAAACAGAAGAAGTGGGGGAAGAAGTGAAAGAGGAGAAAGATGAAGAGGAAGAAAAAGAGGAAGAGAAAGAAAAAGAGGAGGAGGAAGAAAAGGAGAAAGAGATAGAAAAAGAGGAGGAGGAAGAAAATGAAGAAGTAATGAGGGCAGAAGAAGAAGAAACAAAAGAGCAGACAGAGGGAGAAACAAAAGAGGAAGAAGATGAGGAAGTAAAAGAGGAAGTAGAGGAAGAAACAAAAGAGGAAGTGGAAGTAAAAGAGGAAGACATGAAGGAGGAAGAAGAAACAAAAGAGGAGGAGGAAGTGGAGGAGGAAGAAGAAACAAAAGAGGAGGAGGAGGAAGGGAAGGAAGAGGAAGAAACAAAAGAAGAAGAGAAGGAGGAAGAGGAAGAAAAGGAGGAGGAGGAAGAGGAAGGGGAGGAGGGGGAAGTAGGGAAGGAAGAGGAAGAAACAAAAGAGGAGGAGGAAGAGGAGGAAGGGAAGGAGAATGAAGTAGAAACAAAGGAGGAGGAGAAAGAGGAGGAGGAAGAGGAGGAAGAGGAGGAAGAGGAGAAAGAAGTGAAGGAGGGGGAAGAAACAAAGGAGGAAGAAGAGGAGGAAGTAAAGGATGAGGAGGAAACCAAAGAGGAGGAGGAAGAAGAAGTGAAGGAGGAAGAGGAAGAAAAGAATGAGGAAGCAGAAGACATGAAGGAGGAGGAAGAAGAAACCAAAAAGGAAGAAGAGATGCAAGAAGAGGAAGAAGTAACAAATGAGGAAGCAAAAGAAGAGGAGGAAGAAGCAAGAGAGGAGCAGGAAGAAGCAGAAGAAGATGAGGAGGAAGCAAAACAGGAGGAGGCGGAAGTGGAAGAAGAAGAAAGCACAAAAGAAGAGGATGAAGAAGCAAAAGAGGAAACAGAGGGAGAAAAAGATAAAGAAGAAACAAAGGAAGAGGAGAAGGAAGCAAATGGGGAAGAGGAAGAAGAAATGCAAAATGAAATGCAGGAATCTGAAGAAGAGTCTAAAGCTGAAGATGAAACTGACAACGAAGCTGAAGAAACACAGGAGCCAGAGGGTGAGGACATTGGGGCTGATGATGAGGAGGAGACGTCTGAATGTAGAGGAGATGCTGATTGCATGACTGATGACAATCCTGAAGGAAATGCTGCAGAAGGAAATGAAGAAGCTGAGCAGGATGAGGCTGAGGTGGTGGAAGATGCAAATTTGAAGTCAGAAGATGAGGCGTGCTCAGCTGAGGGAGAAAACAGTGAAGATGGTGACAAATATGAGGAAAATGATGAGAAACGTGAAGAGAATGGCAACAGCAAGTCTTCTAAGAGAGACAGAGGCAAGAAAACCAGAAAAAAGCTGAAGACTCTGAGCAAAGCAGTCGTCTTTTTCCGTTTTTCTTCTGTGGGAAAGTTCTCACAGCAATCCCAGAAGGGGTCTGATGATGAAAGTGAAGAGGAATGCAAAGATATGAAATCCATAAGCGACCACCCCAATGGAGAGGTTCAAAGTGATGAGAGCAGCAAACCTTCAAAGATGTATCCTGATAGCGAGGACGAAGAAGAGGACAAAGCATCTTCATGCACTGATCCTTTGGGAGATGAGAAACAGGCAGATGCTGAAGGTGCAGATCCAAAGGAGGATGAACATACTGATGAGGTTCAGGCTATTAAAAAGAAAGAAGACTCTGATGAGATTGATCAGGATGACCTGGACTTCTAAAACTGCTTATCAAAAACTGCTTTTTCTTTCTTTCTTTTTTCTTTTTTCTTTTTTAAAGTATATTTTCTTTACATATTGCAGTATCTCCAGTAAGTTGAGCCATCATAACTGGCTTTTCTTCTGAGTTAAATGTGTTAAACTTGATCTTGAACCCTGTGAGTAAAGTTGCAATTACCTGCCCTCATTTCTAGAGGGCTAGCAAACTCTTTAAGATTTAGTGGTTGCAATAGAAAAGTGGTTTGGAGAAAGGGAAGGGTGTTTTGTTTATGATACCTTCTTATTCTTACTCTTTAAGCCATGCTGTTTGCTGCTTGAGTATCTGTGGCTCTGCTGGGCATCATGTCTGAGTAACTTCAGGATGCCTTTTGTCTGTTGCATGCCATTTTCCTGGAAAGATTGCCAATCCACAGAAATGTGACAAAATCTGGATTCATTGCCAAAGTCTGGTCAGAGCCCACAGAGATGTACACTCATTCCCCCCACCCACCCTACCCTGCCCTACCCTAATCTACCCTCTCTGCACACAGAGAACAGGTCTGAAATATCAAAGTCTTTCCCCATTTTCCCTATTTTTCTTTAGAAGATGTTGAGATCATTCCTCAATTCACTGCAAATCCAAAAGGGCCATCCCAGTAGATCTCTCCTCTTCCAGATCACCGATCTGTTTGTGCTGTGCTCATCACTGTAGCATATGGTGATGCAGTGGTAGATAAAAAAGATGAGTGAGTTCGTCTGTCAGGTGTCTGGGAAGTGGTTGAATTCAATATTGACAAAATCAGAAGTGGGCAAAATCCATTTCCTTGTCATTACCTTTACTATGCCAATGATGGTATTTAAGCACTTTATAATCATCTGGGATCCCTCAAACAATTTTGTACGAGGCCCTGTTCCAAAGCTAATAAGATCTGAAATTGTTCCGTGCCTCACCCTTGCAGTCAACCAATAATATTTAACTAATTTATTGTTTAACATGGAAAAGGTTAAGAGTATTTGTGCTGCAGCAAACAACTGGAAGAGGCTCAAGCATTTACTGGAGAGGTTGGACTATACAAATTAAAATAGAACTGGGAACCTTATTTAACAACTGTTTTCTACTACTGGATTATTTTTTTTCCCCCACTGGGGCAATGTATACATCTCTGAATAAATGTCCAGCTAATGCCAGAAGTCTGACCATGCCTCAGCTGCATACATGTGTACAACTCTTCGAGAAACTGTTTATCTACAATTTACAGGAAGAAAATAAACAGCAAAAATCTAAGAGAGGGTAAAAGCAAAATGCCTTAAACTGTGTGGTGAAAAAAGTATGTGTGTAGTATTTTGCCAGGTTTGTGATGATGCATGTAGACATGTTGAAATATTCAATATTCACAATGAAATAATTAATATTATAATTTAAAGAATCGTTTTCTTTACCTCATACCTTATCAAGTGATTTCCACAAATAAAATTCATTTCACTCCAATTAAGAAGTAAGATTCAGCTCCAGATGTGGATACTTAATGTGAGGTGCCTGTGGCATAAGGGGCTGTGTAAAGTAGGCAATGGAGAGCTAGATCTCAGCTGAGCTTCCCTCCCAGAAGCTCAAAGTGCCAGCTGAGATGCTCCAGGGAGTCCAAGACAGCTGCTCTGTCCTCAAGACACAGAGTTAAGAAGGAGAAGGGCAGCTCCACCATAAAGTTAGGTTTATGTGCATGTCTTGGATTTCCCAGGACACCCTAGTTGGAACTAGACCTCTCTGTAGGTACAACCCAGTTGAACCCTGACTGTCTTAAAATTTGTCTTATCAGACAATCTCAGTTCCCTGTTTTCTCTGGAGACATCATCAGACCTGAGATTACTAGTTTTTAGATGTCTTGGGTTCAATTTCTTTGCCTAAAAATAGGTGTTTGGTGCCAGTTGAGAAGGCATAGGACATCCAGTCTCACATCCCAGTGCTGGTACGAATGGGTGCAGATCTCCTGCAGGTCCAGACCCCCCTGTAGATATGAGGGATGCTCCACGGTATCTTAAAACTCACGGATGTAAAGAAATTACACGTGTAAGATGAAATCCTGCCTCAAGGGATTGTAGTACAGGCTTAAAACTAAATGTTAAAACTCTTGTTGGCTTTGAAGTACAGGAAGAAGATAACTTATTCCTATCTGACACAGCACATCCTCTGACTCATGCATTTTCTAGTGTCTCAGTTTTGCACAGAGATACAGGCTGACAGGCTGACCTGTCACACCTAAAGTACATGATGAACATCATGCCTGCTCCAAACACCTGTTCTGTAGCCTTTGTCCCATTAAAGCTCTCTTTAGGATGCAATTTGAAGGTTTAAGCAGAAAGTGTGTTGCATAAGCTGAGTACTAGCCTTCACACAGAAGTGAATATTTTTTGTATGAGTGGGATTTGATTGCAAAACCTCCAACTTGAGGTCTCAGGTAATGAGCATACAGAGGCGGCTGTTGTGCAAACATCCTGAAATACAGCAGGTATGGATTTTCTGTTGTCCAAAACCGCTCTTTACCATTCCAGGTTAGACCCAAAAGAGACCCCAATCTTGTGAGTAAGCTGAGCAACTCAGCTTACCTACAAGGTGCCCTTGTAGGACCTGGAAACAAGTGTGCATGACAAAATGTGTTGCATCTCTATTTGGTGAACTGTGTTCTCTAGGCTGCACGGTGGGACATTATCAAGCCTCTGTGTTCCTCCCTCTTGCCCAGTCCCTGCAGTGGCCCCATTTAGCTCTGACTAGGACAAGGCAAGAACATCACGTATGGCATCACTTGCACTGCATGCTGGTTGTGCCAACAGATTAAAAGGACAAACAGAAGCTGGTCCCTAATCTGTAGTCTTTCATTACTCCCTTCCACATTTGTTTGCTTGCAACTGCAGTTTCTTTTCCAAAAATACCTCCAAGCATCCACCATTCATTCACACAGCCTCTATAGACTTCCTGAGTCCTCCTTGCCTAGGCTTATGGTCATGGTTAAAGACAGCACCCACATAGCATCAGAGATCCCTCTAGCATTCACTGTCTGGGTCAGAGAGAAAGAGCATTGCTCCAGGGAAAGTTTGCAGCAATGTCCCATGACATCAATACTTTTGACTCTGTATTAAAACTTCACAAGGTTTCCACAAAACAATTCAAAAAGCAGGCTTTAAGGTACCCAGAGTGAGAAATAGAAAAAAAAATACTGTTACATGCACTGATTTATAATGAAAAAGGAGGCTCCAAAGTTAGGGCTACAGTGGGAACAGGTTCACACCAACAACTCTAGGCATGCACATGAGTTTTATTTGTCCTCCTGGGCTCTGCAGGCAATGCAAAGAGACAGGGTCTCCCAGCATTTATTCAGGGAGGGACATGGGACCGTTTTTGGCTGAGGTGAAGCACTTCAACCGTAGCATCCTAATATTGGCATGTGGAGCAAATGTTTGAATTCCAGCTGTGACTACCACTGAAAGTTGGAAATTGGTCAGGTACCACCAACCTGCTTGGTTCTAAACACAGCCTGGAGACTCTCTCCACTCCCCTGTCTGTGTTGGCAGTGACTGGCAGGGACTGTGTCATGTGCGTTTGGTTTCATAGGGAGCAAAGCAAAACCTCTGCTTTCTGATGCATCAGTTCCTGCAGGGTTCAGAAAGGCACCGAGCCAGGTAGTCACAGCTCTGATCTTGGCATGAGACACACTGGAAGTGGTACACGTTTGTGTCACTTCATACATTTCCAGTGAAGATGTCTCCCCCCGAGCCCATCACCCCAAATCCCATTACAACCAATGGGGAGACAGAGGCAAAGAAGAGCACGATTTAGCTGCTGCAGACATCTGTTAGGAGGAGATGAACTGCACTCTCTGCAGGCTTATTTCTCTCTGTTCGAGTGCAAGGGGAGATTAGACAAGCTGCTCAGATGGAGATGTCTGCTGTGGGAAGAGCTGATCCCAGCATAACAGCCCCAAAAGTCCTTGTAGTGGTGACTCGCAGGCTCTGCCAGGCAGCAGCTCAAGCCAGTCATCCCATGGAAGTGTTAAAGACGTTTGTTGGCTCCAAGATCACCCTTCTGTTCACGGCTGGAACAGCATGGGTTAGTGAGAGGCCAAGCCTTTCCCATGATTTCTCCTCCAGCCTGTTGACTTTGCTCATTTCGAAGCTGCTTGCACACAGTCAACAGCACACCCAGTCCGCGTTGAGTCAGCGGCTTCCCTGGGTGTCTCACCCAGCACCAGCAGGGAGAAAAAACTCAAATAAAACACCAAAACACCATCAGCACAGCATGAAAACTGAAGTCACTGGAGGTCTCAACGTGTCGTGCTCATGTCCATGATCGTCATCTGTGTTTGGGAAGAAACTGATGCGTGTGCCTGCCCTCTTTGGGGCAGCATGGGGTCTGAGCTTGCACAGCCTGCTCCCAAAAAGCAGAGGGGCTGGGGAGCAGGCTCGATGTCAGTCCCAGAGCCAATCTCTCCCAGGACCGCCTGTGAGCAAGGCACACAGCTGAAAAGGATCCCTCTCAATTCCATCCCTCGCGCTTGCACCGCTTCCAAAGTTTGCATTTCCCCTTGGCTGCCGTGACTCACCCACGAGTTGGGTCTTGCAGCTCCCCCTCCACCTCCCACAGCACAGGAACACGTGCTGCCAGCCAGCTCCAGAGCTGTCACGTTTGTACCGGCTGGAAAGAAAATGCTTGTCACCACCTGGAGGGGATTACAGCTGCTGGCTTTCAGCAGCCGGGAGGAGGAGGAGGAGGGCAGGGAGGCAGCGCGAGGCTTGCACAGCTGCACAGAGCTGTAAGGCTTGTTGTGCTGTGCATCTCTATTTGTCTTTTTTTTTTCTTTTTCTGTATTTATTAATTAATTTATTTATTTTTACCAGCCAGACAAATTGCTTCTTGATGTATGTCGATTTTGTTCACTTGTGTGTGTGTGTGTGTTTGTTTTTTAATAGGAAATATTCAGTGAAAGATGGTGAAGAGCATGGTGGAAAATGAAAGTGCAAACCACTGAAATAAA